TCAGTTGTATTGACAGGTTCGACATCTGCATAGAAAGCATAATGTACCAACTCACCTTCATCATCTATCACATCATCTGATGTAATCACACAATCTTGCAATCTTGCAGGCATACGTCTTGTTCTTTGAGGTATGCTTGTACTTGGTATATTTGTTGGTTCCTCTTGTCGAACTTCTCTTTCGACTTGAGTTTCTGGTTCTTAGAATAGGATTCCCAATGAATCTTTCTTGACATTATCAGTCCAATCCCATTCTTTAAACTCATCTATGATCACGTCCCTACTGATCACAATCTTCTTGTTTTCTGGATTGAACAACTTGTAACCTCCTGTCGAATGATATCCAACTAGAATCATTTGACTTGACTTGTCATCAAGTTTTCTTCTCAACTGATCTGGCACATGTCTATGTGCAATAGATCCAAATACCTTCAGATGACTCAAGCTAGGCTTTACACCAGACTAACATTCTTCTGGAGTAATTCCTTCTAGCTTTTTTGTAGGACATCTGTTTAAAATATATGTTGCAGTCAAAACAGCTTCACCCCAAAACTCTTTAGGTAAATTCTTGCCTTTCTACATGCTTCTCACCATATTCATGATGGTTCGATTCTTCCTTTCTGCAATTCCATTTTGTTGTGGAGTATAGGGTGGCACCACCTCATGCACAATCTCTTCGTTTTCATACAGCCTGTCGAAGTCTTTCGACACATATTCTCCACCACCATCAGTTCTCAAAACTTTGAGCTTTCGACCACTTTGTCTTTCGACCATAGACTTAAACTTGGAAAATACTTCGATCACTTCACTTTTCTTCTTGATAAGATAAGTCCATAGCTTTCGACTGAAATCATCTATGAATGTAACAAAGTACATCCCATCGAATCTACCTGGATTGGTCCACATACACCAGAGTATATGACTTCAAGACTAGCCTTCGACCTGCTTCCTGCATCCTTGCTGAAGCTATTCTTGTGTTGCTTCGCCTGCACACATTCCTCACATACCTCATTTGGAATGTCAATTTCTGACAATCCTGAAACCATATTTCTTCTCTTCAAATATCTGATGTCTCTGAAGTTGAGATGTCCTAATCTATAATGTCATATTCATTCATCTCTGCTAGCTGCAGTCGAAAGGAACTTGTGCTCCATCACATTTAGTTCAATCTTGAAGGTTCGATTCTGAGACATAGGAGCCTTCAAGATTAATCTCCCATTTGCATCAACGACTCTCATCATCTTATCTTCGATTGATACTTTATAATTCTTTTCAACCAACTACTTATACTGAGTAAATTGCTCTTCATGCCTGATATGTACAATACATTGGAAATTACTGACCTCTTGCCATCTTTCCTCATAATCATAACATCACTAATACCTTCAGCTGCTAGGGTATTTTCATTTGCAAATTTTATCATATTTTTCATTGAGGTTTTTATATTGACAAACCAGTCTTTCCTTCCAGACATATGTGATGAACATCCTGAATCCAAGTACCATTGGTCCTTGAATCTATCTTCATCACTTGTTGTGACCATCAACATCATCTCTTCTTCTTCTTCTTCTTCTTCTTCTTCTTCATGTTTTGCAAGCTTTGCATCACTTTCTTGATTCTTTTGTTTTTCTGGGCAATCACTCGAATAGTGACCATACTTCTGACAATTATAACATTGAATGTGACTCTTATCAGGTTTTCGACCACCACCTTTTCCTCTATTTGCAACACCACCTCTTTGGTTACCTTGGTATGGTTTTCTTTGATTTGACACGTTTCCTTCGATCTGGTTTCCTCTACCATTCGATTTGTTGTAGCCACCTCTACCTCTATCGAAACACTTTCCTTTGCCTTTGGTCTCTTTTGCTGAATGTGCCTGCAAGGCCACATCACTCTTCGATTTTCCTGCAGCTCTTTCGTCCATTCTTTGTTCTTGAGATTCAAGCGTCCCTTGAAGCTATTCCTTTGTCAATTTCGACAAGTCTTTCCCATCTTCTATCGCCACCACTATGTGGTCGAACTTAGGAGCTAAAGATCTCAAGATCTTCGAAACAACAACTCTTGTTGTTAACGTTTCTCCACATATCTTGATTTGATTTACTAGTTTTGTAACTCTAGTGAAGAAATCAGATATGCTTTCACTGTCTTCCATCTGAAGCAGTTCATACGTTCTTTTGTGAGTTTGTAACCTCACTTCTTTCATTTTCTCAGCGCCTCCAAAAGACTTCTCAAGGATTTCCCAAGCTTCTTTTGCAGATTCTGAATCACTAACCTTTTCGAAATTGTCTGGGCTGACACATTGATGAATTATAAATAATACTTTATAACTTAGCTTCTCAGATTCTGTGTATTTCTTCTTTTCTTCTTCTGAAGCATTTTCTCCAAGCTCTTCGACTCCATCTTTTACGAGATCCCAAAGACCTTGACACCTGAATAAGACTTTCATCTGTTTGCACCAATTCTCATAGTTGTCAACTTTTAGAATTGGTAGCGTTGCTGGATAGTTTGCATTCCCATAACTTATCATTGTGAATTTTTCAATCGTTCTTGATTGATACTTTCCTCGAATCGAAATAAAGCTCTTGATACCAGATGTTGGAAATCCACCAATTCTATGATGAATTTCTACTACAATGACAATTTAATTATGAGACAAACAAAGAATAGAAGACAAGACAAATTATTTCTGCAGAGTTTCTCTCTACTCACAAACTGTAAAAACTTTATTATTCACTTTGCAACTGCAAAATACTGTGAATGACTTGCTTACAAAAATAGGGGTTACTCCCTCTATTTATAACTGGGCTTACACCCAAAGCTCAAAGCCCAAAATATATATTTTGTTACTAAATAAAATCTAATATATTCTAGACTTAAATCAAATCTATTTAAATCTAAAACAAATCAAATCTTTTCAACACTATGAATTACAATTTAACATCTTTTAAATTTAATCAATTCATAAAAATTAGTGCATATTATTAGTCTATATTTATAACTATGTGAATGTTAATCAATTGAAAAAAAAATTCAAATTTTATAAATAATGATTTAATAGACATGTGATGTGAATTCAAACGAGACCCGTGTGAAAGCATATGTTTCTTACTAGTTACTCATAAAATCATAATTATATTTAAGACTCATTTTCTCTCTCTTTCAACCAATCCTTTTGATATATTTATTCTAAATAATAAAAATAAAATAAAATTGGATAGTACTAATATTTCATTCTTCAGGAATGATACGATTTTTTTATGTAAATGGAATTGATTATGATCGGATACTTTTTTATTTTCTACAACTTCCATCCAATTCTTTTCCAATTATGTGTCTAATTCATTTTCCTCTAATTTTCATTTTTCGTAGCAAACAAGGTTCATACCAAAACAGGGAATTCTCAAAGTTGATTCACAAAGTATTGTCCAGGTATGTATTATTTTTTCAAATGACCTATTTTATTTTCTCAAATAAAATAAAAACTCAAAATGATTGGTTGAAAGTAAGAGAGAGAAAATGAGTTTTAAATATAATTATGATTTTAAGAGCAATTTAGGAGAGAAGAATGTTTACAGTTTAACTAATAAGAAATCGGTATTATCACACAGATTTCGTCTGAATTTATATTATATGTATCAATGATTAAATTGTTAAATATGACACCATATTTTTAGTTGGATAATATCAATATAGTTATAACTTATAATTATTTATCAAATTTTAATTCATGTATTTGGAGTATCAATCATAATATAATTTATTTTGCAATTCATAATTATATATATACTAATAATATGTACCAAATTTTAAAAATTGATTCATATTTATAACAAATTGTACAAACATATTTATAACTTCAATTATATAAAACACCAACAAAAGAAATAATAAAAAGATATATATTAAAATAATAAATCAATAGTTGATATTTCATAAATACGTTCACATCTACCCGTAAATCCAAATAAGTTAACAAATCTCAGTTGAATTTAAATGAGTTAATTTTAAAAATTTATTAAACCTATGTTAGTTATTATGCCATTTACCCAAACCTAAAATGTATAACAATTTTAAAATTTTCTTATTATATTATATTTACATTGTTTTACAATCTACAATGTAAATGTATGACACCTCCTTGTTAAATTTTAATTTTAAAATATTTTTATTAGATCACATTTACAAATTTTATAAATCTAAAATGTATGACAGTATCCCTTCAAAAATTAATAAACTATATAAATATACTCATGCAAATTCAATATGAAGATTAAATTCAATATTGTAAAATTTTATAAATAAAAATATAAATTAAAAAAAAAATATCATCAATTTTCTATTAAAAACGTGAGAGCGGATCAAAACTTTTTAAATTTAAAATAAAGACTATTTTCGTGAATCAAATAAAATTTGAGATTTAAAATTATAATATAACTTTTCATATTCTAGATAAATCAAGTATTTTGACAAAAAAATCATTAAACCTTTTTTAAATATATTTTGGTATCACTTTTTATTATATTTAATTATTATTATTATTTTTTATTTTTGAATGAAATGTCATTATTTTTTAAATTATCTTAATTAAAAAATCTTTAATTAAAGAAACGTATAAAATTAATTTATATTTTGAATTTAATTTCAGTAAAAAAAAATAATATTATTTAAAAATAATTTACGTATAAAATAATTTATAAAATATATTTTTATATCACTAAAAATACATATTCAATTATATATAACAAATGTCTCAACGTAAGCATTGTGTTCTAAGTAGTTAGAAGTTAGTTATAGAAATTTGACAAATTTGATAGATCAAATAATTTAACCATGAGAAACACATTAAACATATAAAAAAAAACCTTTCACTTACTGATACATTTCAAATGATTGATCAAATAATTTAACCATGAGAACTGCATTACACAGATACATAAAAATATTTGAACATTAAACATATAGTAGACTTTCACTTGCTGACATGAAGTATATTGTACACATTCAACATTGGATTAAAAAAGAGAAACCATGAAAATGAGTTGATTCATCACATAGTTGGAGCACTCTCAACATTTCCAGCAATAACAATGAGCAAATCATTAACTCATTGTAACTCCCCAAAAGTGCCTTCATTAACTCATATGGTCTTTCTCCATTAACCATTTCAAATAACTCTTTTGTAGGGTTCACAACTGATTCGTGTACTAATGGCCATACTCTCATTAACGCATCCTGCGTACACAAAAAAAGTTGTTCCAACTCGAGGTCGATAATTAATATTTGGTAAACCGATAATAATCATTAAGTAGTGTAAACAAAAATATTATCTATGTAGTAACCTGGTGGTGTTGGAGCAGGTAAGCACCATCTGATAAGCCTTGTTCATCGGTCACAAGAGTTTTCCCAACATCTGTTAGTGAGTACTTCCTTTCACCGCCAACAATAACCTCTTCAAGCACGCAGTAGCTAGCGAGAATGCATAGCAAGCATTGAAGATTCTCGGCGTCGCCGCCACCGGTTGGAACTACACGCGCGAGGATCTGAGCGGCGGTGAAAGGCGCATTGGAACCACCTTCCCAAATTGCGTCGGCAACGTTGAGACGTATATATATATATGATTTCATTATATGTCATATCTAACTTATATAATTCAATTATTTATTTGCTCATGATTTTTTTAAAATATTGAAATTGTTTATTAAATAAAGATACAATTAAATGAAAAGATTTAACATAGAATTGACAAAATTAAATATCTTATTGAATACATTGAATATACGCTGTTAACTAAATTTTGGTGTCTACTATAACAAAATTAACTTTCAGTCTTTTTTCACGCATGTATGACAAATTTGAATTCATGGTCGACGCACGCAGGTATTTTCTACATGTTTAAAATACAAATAGTAAAATAAACCAATATTCAAATTCACCTCACTTACACTACAAGACACTCAAGAACAAAACAGATTAGCATTATATACCAATTATTTGTTAAAGAAAATAGCATATACTACCAAATATGTCCAACAGTCTCAACAAACTAGATTAATTGAATATATAAAACGTTAATTAGCAAGTCTTATTAACAGAATATACCGAATATCTAAGCTCTCACCTGTGAGTTAAAATAAATGTGATAACATCCATCTTTAAAAATTTAATTAACTTATTTTATTTTATTTCACTTTATGTCATTAATCCAAATGTAACATGCATGCATGTTGGAGCCAACATTGGCAGATATTGACACATGTGAGGCTGTTTTTGTGAAAACTAATTTTCAATCTCGAGAACATTTTGAACAGTGTCAAACTTGCCTTTATGCGTATGATATATTAGAATATTTTATAATTTAAATCTTATTTGATTATTATATTTTAATAGTTATTATAGGGTTATATATTTTAAATATACTAATTATCTATCAAAATTAAGAGTCTTAATTGATTAAGTGGTCAAATAAATTTAAAAGAATAATTAGATTTTTATTTAGTAATTAATTAGATATGAGTTCAAATATGAGTGAATGTTAGGATGATCTATTTTAGAAAAATGGTAACCTTAATTGGTCATCACTCTATATATAGGCTATAGTTCCCAATTTATCTTATACAAATAATATACTTTTTTTTTTCCATCTGAAGAGTATTCAAGGCATTAGGAGTATTGGATGAAGAAAAATCATACAAGCTATCAAGTGTTATCAAGTGTTCGTTGTTTATCTTCTAACTTTCAGAATTACCGTTAATAGAAAATTTCTCAATAAATTCAGGTATTTCTGCAATCTCTTCTCTCATATACTAATATGTCGTAGATCTTGTAATTATATACATGTTCGTATTATCTATTCTATTTCGCACTAAAATATATGACATAATATATAGAACATATATATGTGATTAATTGTTATTGATTTAATTTCTAATAAGTGGTATCAGAGCCTGATTGACTCGGTGGGGGAGCAAAAGTGGATCCTAGTGTAGATAAGGGCTAGTGATGTGGGTGACTCACACTTGTGGGGGAAATTATTAGATTTCAAGTGTGAAAATTGTGTTAAAGTCCCACATCGACTATGAATGGAGGAAATGTTGAGTTTTTAAAGAGGTGACTCATATCCTCATTGCCTTAAGATTTTGGGTGAATATGTATTGTCAAGGACTAATGGTATAAGAGCATGTCATCATGTTAAGTTTATTGAGATTTGTGCACTAAACTTTAACTTTTTTGTGGATATGGATTATGAAACCTATATTTGAAATTCATGATTGTGTGAATTTTGTTTTTTAAGACATGAATTTTTATGATAATATTTGAGGATGTTTTCTTTTATTTATTAAATCATTATGATAATAAGAAATTTATGATTTTGTGTATACTTGTTTTGAAATGATTTTTATGGTTTAAGTTCTTCCATATAAATTTATATGTACACATCTTCTATATATTTTACACAAAAATGAATAAATTTTTTGCATGGATAATTATAATTATTTAGTCTTTAATTGCATTATAATCTTAAATATTTATTTTGATCATGATTTTATATAAAAGAAAGTCAAAGAAATTAAATTTAATAAAAATAAAGTTTTTATTTGAATTTAAATATTTTATTGTGATATATATCACAAATTTTAGATTTTATAATTTGTTGGCATCAAATAAAGTTTTAATTCAAAATAAAATCTTTATGTTTTTTTTTTTTAAGAAAAGTGTTTGTGAAAATTTTGGATGCTAAATATATTTGGAATTACATATATGGTTATGATCGATAATTGAGAATTATAAAAGTATATTTTTTTTAAGGATTTTGACTTTCAACACTCTATTTATGGCTTGAGAGTATATATTTAGAAATATATATTTATGTCAATTATTTTGAAAAGGTAAATATTAAATTTAAATCTTATTTTAGTGATTTGATTCTAGGTTTTGAATTTAAAAATACGTTTTATTATCAACACTTTTTATTTGATTTTTAGTTAATGTTTTATCTTTCAATTTGATTCACATAAAATCTTCAGATGAAATTTATTTTGAGAGATAAAACAAATTCTAATTTATTTAATATATACTTAGTTATTATATATTATTAATAGAATTTTTTTATATATGTTGAATATCTCTTAAAATTATAAGGTAAATCTAAAGATTTGATTCAATAAATTTTGGATACTTTAAATTTTAGAATTGATTTTTTGTTGATTATAAAATAATTTATTTAAAGAAATATTTATTGTATATGTGAATTTGTTTGACATATATTTTGGATATTTAAAAAATTTATTTAATGTATATTTAATATTTATCTTATTTGAAATTATACATTTAGCATCATTATATTATTTGAGTTTATTGTTACTAAATTTTATACAATAATATTTTTTTTAATCATGCAACTTGTATAAATTCATAAAACTTATATTTTATTGTGAGTTTGTTCTCACATTAAGAATCGCTAAGTAATCTTATGATTATGAGGAATGCGACAAACTTACGGATCCGATCTATATTTTATGGATAGTGTCTTATAAATTTAAGACTTTTTCCCATTTAATTTATTAAATTGTATAATAATTTTGATTGAGTTGGTTGAAACAACAAGTTGTCTAATAATTTTGATTTTGATTGAGTTGTGAACATAAAATTATTAAAGTATTCAGTGAATTACATTCACACCTATTGTTGTACCCTAAAATTTGTCCTCCCTTTTTTTCAAGACATTTCCCACAAAAGATCTCAAATGCTCAAGGATACTCAAGAGTTGATCAAACAAGCTCACCTCCTAAGCACTGAGACCACAAATTAGGGTTTTGGTTTTCACAAAGAAAGTTGGACTTTTAATACCTAAAGTGACTTTCATGGTTCATTATAGGTCTTCAAGAATGCTCATAGCAAGTTTCAAGTCCTACACCACAAATTTGCTCAGTCAATTACTCAGATGACTGAAAATCAGCTATATTGGATAAAAAGTCAACTGTGGTCAACATACAGTCAAAAATCATGATTTTTGGCCAACATCAATATTTTAAAGTCATATTCATCAATTGATCAAGGTTTGATCACAATTCCTTAAGAAAAGCACTCAAATCATCAAAGGGGCAAATTTGTCAAAATTAGGGTTTTGACTGAGAATGATTGATCAATGACTTTTGACCTAGTACATGACCTAATGGCTTGAAGCATGATCTCAAGGGCTCAAACACAATATCTTGACCAAATTTGATGGCTCAAATCATTTCTCAAGATCAATGGATTGATAGTTGGAATTTGACCACCTGATGAAAAGTCAACTAATACACAAAAAGTCAAACTTTGACTTTTTGGTCAACATTGAATTTCAAAGATCAAGATTCACCAAGACCTTCAAAAATATCAAACTTGATCATCAAGAATCGAGAAAGTCAATAAAAGTCAACAAAAGTCAAGATTTTTAAGACTTAGAAAAATTCTATTTTTTACCTTGATAATTTCTCTACTTCATGACAATTTTTCACCAAGATTCAAGGAAAACTTTCAACATGAAATTTGTAGATCTTGATGAATCCTACAACTTGTCCCTTAGGGTTGATGTCAAAAAAATGCTTATATTATGAGATATAGGCCCATGAAGTCATGATTTTTTATCAAAAACACTTAGTGAAATTTTCATCAAGTTATGTAGATATTTTTGTCCCAACTTCTTGGCAATTTTTCACCAAGTTACAAGTTGATTTAGCCAAAATGGTCAACATGAAGGTTGTAGACAATGTTTCAAGATTTTCAAAATGTTCAAGAACTTGAAGAGATCATGCTTGAGCTAGGAGAATCGAAGAGAAGAAGTTGAGCATCCATTCTTGAATTTTAGGTCATTTTATGATGAACCTTATGATCTAATCTTCAAGCATGTTGCATAATCTTGCTTTGCATGCCTTCAAACTTGCAAATCACTAAAAAATTAAATGTTTACATAAAGGTAAACATTGAGATATGATCCAAGTTCTTGAGCCATTGTCCAAGTGATTAATCCATTTTTGGTACAAAGGTAACATTGCCATTTTGGAAAAGTGACTTTAATCACAAAGTCCACTCTCCTTGAGCTTTGAACTTGTTCCTTCTGAACACAAACAATCTCAAAGCCAGAAGAAACTTGTCTAGAGCCTCTAACTACTCAGACCATGCTTGTACTATGCATTGAAACTATGTGTTTCAAGTTTGCTTCAAAAACAAGTTTCAAAACTATAACATGTGATTTTTAAAATCTGATTGCTAGAACCTCTAAAACCTTTTCTTTATAAATATAGAAGTTATCTATAAGCCAATGGACGAATTCACAAACCTTGAAACACTCACAAACTCTCTGAAATCAGAATTGGCACTCAAGTTCACCATTGTTGCACATTTTGACTTTGAATTCCAAATACACAATCCACTCGTGTGTTTTCACTTCTAATCAATCCACTCATATAGAGGCTATCCAAACACTTGCTACACAACTGTAACACCATTTGCACCATCCTCCATTTCCAAAAACTCAAACCTGCAACTTGAATTCTCCAAAAAGATTCAACCACTCTCAGCTCAAAGTAAGCATTGCAATAGCTTCCTAGGAGTTCAGTGAAGCTATCCAGATCATCATAACACT